TCTAATCCCATTTTTTTTAGACAGGGTCTTTCTATGTAGTTCAGCCTGGACTTGAACTCATTACATAGCACAAACTGGCCTTGAACTCTCAAAGGGCAATTCTACTGCCTCAACTTTTCAGGGCTGAGATTACACTCATATACCACCATGCCTGGCTAGACCACTAATTTAAAATTATTTTTTCTTTTCTAATGTAGGTATCCAGACCTATAATGTTTTAAATTTTGTTATCTCTCAACAAGTTATTTTTTCATTGTCTATTGGTTTGAAGTATTTAACAATTTCTCATGTGAGTCTTATGCATTTTAAAATACTTATTTTTGGGGCTGACGAGATAGCTCAGTGGCTTAAGCTCCTGCCTAGCAAACATAAGGTCATAAGTTTGATCCCCAGTATCAAAATAAATATAATACTCATTTTATTTTATTTGACAACTCTAGCATATTCTCTCTCTCTCTCTCTCTCTCTCTCTCTCTCTCTCTCTCTCTCTCTCTTTCTCTCTGTCTCTCTCAATCTATTTGGTGCAGGGACCTTGCTATGCAGCTTGGACTCATAGTGACCCTCCTGTTTCAGCCTCCCCAGTGCTGGGATTACAGGCCTGCACCACCACACCTAGTCTTGGTGGCCCACTATATACACCCAGGGTGGGGCTGACATGGCATGTGGTACCAGGAATTGACCTCAGACCATGAGGTTGCCTAGGCAGGTGCTTAAGACCACTGAGCAGGCGCTTAGACCTCTGAGCTATCTCCTTGGCCCCTTAGTCTCTTTCTACTGCATTCATTACATATTTCTTTGTAGTTTTATATCCTTAGTTCAGGATTTTCCTGGTACGTACCTATTTGTTTTATGTACTTTTTTTTTTTTTTTTTACTCCAGCTCTGGTAATTGAACTCAGGGTCATTCTGTCTCTGAACTATATTCCTAGACCTTTTTATTGTTTATGATGGGGCAGGTTCTTGCTAAGTTGCCCAGGTAGGACTCAAATTCATAGCCGTCTTGCCTCAGCCTTCAGTGTGGTGTGATTATAGGCATGCACCACCATGCCTGGGTTATTGTACCTGTTATATGTACATGAGTCCCTAGATGAATGGTAGCCCCCCAATACAAAATTCTATCTTATACTTGTAAAATTTTTAGTACTTTGTATATAGTTACTCTGAAGTTAACTGACATCATAGCTACCATTAATGTGAGAGCTATTGTGGGTGAATCTAAGATGTCTATAAGAAGTCAATAAATTTTTAAAAAGATGATAACCAATGACACAAAATAGAGAAAACATGTATAAAGGTCCTGGGGTAGAAATGCATATTGTCCTTTTGGTGGCAAGGGACAAAAAAAAGTTCGGGAAAATCTGGGAAAGAAGTCAAGGATATGGTGCAGAGGCTCTGATAATCAGGCTGGGTGTGTCGGAGCCGTCAGTTTGGCACATCTGATGGAGATCTGTGGCACTCCTCTAGTGTCTCTTCACTTCACTGTACCTTGGACTACAGTCACACTTTCCTTTTCTGCTATGTCCTCATGACCCAATTCCAGCCAGTCAGTTTACCACTCATGTGCTCTCAAGGACACAGAAAGACGTTTTCAGGGGCCCGGGAGATAGCTCAGTAGAATAAGCACTTGCCTGGCAAGCACAAGGGCCTGAGTTCAATCCCTGGTTCTGCAAAAAAGAAAGAAAGAAAAAAAGAAAAAAAAAGAAAGAAAGAGAGAGAGAGAGAGAGAGAGAGAGAGAGAGAGAGAGAGAGAGAAAGAAGTTTCTGAGCCAAATTTCCCACCACTTTGAACTTGACCTTGGTGGCTTTTTTGTCTTATGAGGGTTGCCTCAAAGTGTGTAGACATGGTTAGATTGGAGTATGTAGACACCTCTGAAGCAGCAATTTTTAGTTTTTAAAATTGGCATCTGGAGGAGGCATCATAATCCCTGACTTGAAATTATACTACAAAGCTACTGTAATAAAATCATCATGGTACTGGCCGAAACACAGACCTGAGGATCATTGGAACAGATTAGGAGAGGCTGACACAACCGTAGTCACAAACACACTCACCTTATTTTTGATAAAGAGAACACAAATAGTCACTGAAAGAAAGATAAGCCTCTTTAATCAGTGTTGATGAAGTCAAAATGGATCAAAGATATAAATAGTAAAACAAAAACTCTACATCTACTGGAAGAGAAATTAAGTAGGAGGGTAGGAGGGGCCGGGGAGTAGGCTTAGTGGGCCTGAGTTCAATCCCTGGTTCTGAAAAAAAAAAAAAAAAAGTAGGAATTCTTGAAGACTTAGGGGTAGGCAGAGACTTTATAAACAAAACCCAAACTACATGGGAAACACTTCAAAGAATCAACAACTGGAATATCATCTTATTAAAAAGTTTTTGTACAGCAAAAGAAATCAACAAAGTGATAAGACAACCTGGAAGAGCAGGAAATAATTTTAGCTAACTGTCCCTCAGACAAAGAATTTCTATTTAAAACATATAAAGAATTGAAAAAAGCAGGCCCCAAAATTCAAAGCGTCAATCCAAAACTAGGCATCTGAGATGAACACAAACTTTTCAGATGAATAAGTACAATGGCAAATAAATATATGAAGACATGTTCAATGTCACTACTCATTCAAGAAATGAAAATTAAAAAAGAAAGACTGGCAACTGAGAGTTCTGGTATTTTGGGTTGTTTCCAGGAAACTCTGTTTAAGCTATACCCTTTTTCTCTCAGAGTATCTGAAATTTTACTTAAGAAAAAGGGAAACCACCTTCTAAATAAACATTGTAAGACAGAATAACTCAAGCATCTTTCTTTGGGAGGATCAAAGACTTCTGCCCACAAATCAATTTTGACATTGATGCTTTGTATTCATTTGTTCAGGAGTCTTTGTTTCAGTGTTCTTTTCTGATATAACTGGCTGGAAATAGAATAGGCTTTTTGATTTTGTAGATTTTTACAATAGGCCTTTGATGTACATAATATTAACATAGATTTCTTTCTTTCTTTTTTTTTTTTTTTTTCAGGAGAGAGTTATAGGGGTATCCCAAGACTGAATGTAATCCCAAGTACTTGTGATAGGGTTTGGGCAGAAAGGCTACTTCGCTGATAGGAAGTGCGAGATTCAGATGCTGGGCACTTTGAGACTGAGGGGTCTCTGTGGTGGGGGGAAGGCTTTGTGGGGACTATTTTTGGGCTCCCCACAGCCTAAATCTATGCTGAAATAATAGTCATAAAGCTGAGAAGTTAACATATTTCTGACTTAGATTTATTCGTATGTCTACCTGTAAAATTGGTGATACATAAATGTATTCTAAAAATGCAGTGTGAGGTATGGCTACCTGAGTTTTCAGAGGTCATGTTAAGTCACCTTCAGGTCTTGGTGCTGCTGGATATCTCTGGAACCACTGCTCATCCTGACCACATGAGTTGCAGCAAGTGGAAGAGAGTACTCTGCTTCTGCAGTGTCCTGGGTGGGCAGAGAAATAGCTTTAGAAATCCCTCACCCCACCCTGAGCTGCACGGGCTCTGCAGCCTGGGGCTGGGAAAGAAGGGGCCTTTTTGTGTGCTGTGCTTTGGCTGGGCTAGGGTGGATGTGTCCAAAGGGCCATCCTGGGATGGCACACCCTTGAATAAAATATGACTAAAGTACTGATTTTAAACATATAAGCCTTTTCTCCTAAATTGGGGGGCAGTGACCACATGGCAGGTGCCATGCCGGCTGCTGGCTCCCCTTCCCCTACTACCCTAGTAGGGTAGTAGGCCCTTTTCTCCCATTCTGCGGCAGGAACTGGCAACACCTGGGTCTGCAATGGGGCTCACTGGCCATGGGAAGAGATGTCAGAGTCACGCTTGGTGGCAAGTTGGAGGAAATACTGAAAAAATCATCCTTACCATAGGCCCTGGTTTCTGTGGACCTGAACATGACTCAGTTTTCCCCAGCAGTCTGAAGATGTGCACAGAGGACCGCAGCAGGCACAGGGCTCCTCCTCCCTCCTCTGGCCTGACTTGGGGCAGGAGTGGAAGGGAGGGAGGGGCTCCTGCCAAGCCTGTCTCTCATCCATGTGCCTCATTCCTTTGCTGCTTCTTTTCTGTTTTGTGGC